TGAACGTCTCTGCACTCAACCTGTACGTTCATGGAAGACAGAGCAAATAACAGGAGAAATATAAAGGATTTACCCTAGGAACTGATTAACTGCTTCACAAGTCGGACTAGAATTAATCTACAATGCTGCACAGAGGTAAAATTCAGAGAGGAAGATATCTCAGAGATGGTGCTAGGATTAATACAAGTCTCTTTGCCCTCAGAACTGCAAAGAGCTGACTGGTGAGCAGTCTGTCTCCAGAAGCACGAGACCAAGGTCAACAGTTGCTGTTTATCTTCATAATTTGCTTGTGCCAACTCCAGCGGCTGCTGGCCAGCTACAGTTTAGCAAGCCCACATTCACAGCCACCGCCATATGCCGGACCAGAGGGACAAGCTTTATTCACAGGATCTCATTTGCCCCTTTTTTTTCCACCTAGATTCCCACATCACACTCCTTAAAGCAACACTGGCGTTAACAATAGCACTCAGCCTTGCTTTTACCGTTTTATCAGTACAAGCCACTTGTTGCCAGCCTAGCTCTTTTTCCTATTGAAAGTACATTTGTCATGCAGTCAAGGTTTTGCAAAAATTAAGTGTCCAGAGGGCAACAATCTCTGCCTCCGCATAACCAAGTCAGAAAGATGCTCTTGACAGAAACTTCCTTCCACTGAACTTCTCCCCTCTCTCAAGTCCTCTCTGCAAGAGAAAAACTGGATGAGTATTTCATATCATTTTAAAATCATGAAGTTAAGCAAATACAGTCCTTTGCCAGCACCCCCTTAGTTCTGAGACAACAGCAGATTTTGACTTTCCTTAAAACTAACCCCTAAAGGCTTACTCTAATCCCAAAACAAATCCGGTCTAAAGCAAAACAGGAGCATCCACACACTTCTACAACAGTTCAAAAACATCAAGAAAGTCATAACTGCAGTTTGAATCATGCAACTTTTTCATAACCAAGACGCAATTCCAGCACAGTTAGAAGCACTATGCAGCATCTCAGACCACACTAACTTAACCAAAAAGGCAGATGATAAATGTTTTAAAGCCAAATTTCTCAGACACTACAGTAATACACATCTTTAAAATATATAAATAAATCAGCTAATAAATAAGCAAGAATGTGAAAAAAAGATACACTGCACACAGGTAAATTCAAAGATTCTGGTGAACAACAGTAGCCGTGCTTTGATTCTTTCTCTCCCAGTGCTCCACTCAGTCGTAGCATTAAAGAGACAAGATACCAAAAAGGAAACAGTGAGCAGTACAAAAAGTACAAGAGTACTTGGATTTTTGTAGAATATTTACCATCATTTGCAGATGAGAAAAACCAGGAAGCTTAGGTGTGACTTTTCACTAAAATGTACTAATTCAAGACTGATAATTGAATTACAATTTTTTTTTTTTTACTTTTTTTTTTTTTTTAAGTAGGTGTTTACCCAGTTCATGGATTTAATGATTTCTATGTGAAATAGCAAAAATGTCACACTTGCTCTTGGAGCCAAAAAAAAAAGGCTCTGAGAACAAACATTGTTCTTTTATAGAAAAAAAAATAAACCTTAAAATCCAGGAGGGTGCTGTGCACAAGGGCACAAAAGAAAAGTACTGTGATGCTGAAACTTAATGAATTTACAATTCTTACTATTCCATCAGTGCTCTGAAATTAATCAAAATAGGAACAAAAAGCCAAACCATAAAATGCCTGATTTCTCCTGGGTAAACTGGTAGTAAAACTGCAGGGAATTTATTTTAACTCTAGCAGCAAGTGGAGGGGCTCAGGAGAGCCCACATCAGATTAGCAGCAATGTTTTACAAATGGGCACTGATGAATTCCACTACAACCCAGTTATATGGGAGCGTGTTTCCACCCTGTGCTGAACCCAGGAAGGCAGACGTTACATGCCCCTGCCTGCCTCTCTCCCAGCCTTTCAGGAAACTATGAAGCTAATCTTCCCCAGTAGTATTCTCTGGAGAAAAAGTTCACTTCTCACGAGGGTAACACGTATTTTGTAATTATTATTTTTATGCCTCCCCAGGGAAGGTGAGGAGGGGGGAGCTTCCTTGCTCAACAGAGAAAGAAATTTTCCTGTATCAATGCCAAGAACAGACACCCTAAATTCAGCGATCCTAATCTCCAGCCATCTATCAGCAGCAGGGTGGGACCAGCTGATTCACATTTTCTATTAGCTAGCAACTTTGTGTACTAAAATAGTCACTGTACCACCCAATTGTTCCTGCTGCTCTCTGCTCTGCAAATACAGACTTAATAGTAGCTACCTCAGCTACCACTAAGTACTTCCCCAGCAGGGCCTTTATAACGGGCACAACCTTCTCCTCACCAACTCACCCAGGTCCCTGGCATGCCCCTGTGACTTTACGTTGTGAGTATTTCTTACAACATTTGCTCCGCTATCCTTTCAACACGCATCAGGGAAAATGCGAGCTCTGAGTATCTACAGCACCACAGAAGGAAGAACCCAAGAACCAACCTAACCTGCAGATAGACTATTTGATGGCAACTGTTCATTTACATGGCAAACTAGTATTCATACAGATAGTGATCAAGGCCCATATATAGAGCACACTGTGTGACAGATGAAGACAGGATAAAACAACAAAAGCTCCAGTTCTATATTTTAAAAGGCATTAAGACAATACCAAAACAGTTGACTAACATGTATCAGTGTAATAAATTACTCTCTTGGTCAAATATTAAATAATTCACACACATCGGTCATTTTCTGGACCAGAAAATAAAATATGCATAATTCAATTAATGTTATTCCTTTACACAGTAAAATCAATAGCAGAATACATAAACTGGCAAAGGAATTGAAAATAACACTAAATAAAACCAGTAAAAACATTAAAAATGCACAACCGAGGCTAACAGCAAACTGTTAACCTAGTCAGACAATTCACCCAGTTGGTAGCCTGCAAGTTTTCATCTCCCATAGACTAGTGCTGTGCATTGGGAGCAAAAACAAAGAAAAGAGACCAGTTCACTTCAGTTAACCAAAACACAAGCAGCATTTGTGGCCACAGGTCACACAAACTTCTGTTCTCATTCATAGACCTACAGCCACACAGAAACAAAAGGAGTCAGTAAGCAAGTCTCGCTGGATATTAGCGGCATGGGCCACACGCAAGTGAGTACATTTTTAGCAAAGATAAAGGCAAATGTTTTGTGCTTTCAGATAGCTCTAGAGCATTGAAAGAACTGGCATCCAGACACATGCATTTGGTCTAGAGCTTCTCCACAGCTTAGAGGACAGAATGCTTTGGACCATTCTGTCCAAATGTTGGACATTGCTTTGCAACATCACCATCAGCCAAAGAGAAAGGTAGCCAGCCATTCCAAACAAAGGAAATTATAAACCTGACACCAAGATTTTGACAAGTGACTGTTGATTTTGGGTGTTCCATACAACCCATGTTAATAGACACAACATTTTCAGAAAGCTACAGATATATCCTCCTCCTACCTACCTTCCTTCCTCATGACAAAACTATCATCCAAAAAATACAATACCTCAGGTCTGTAGTTTCTTCAAAAAGGAATGGCTTCCAAAGTCAGTAGTGGAAATTCAAAGGAGATTTTTTTTAAAAAAAAAAACAAAAAAGCTAGAACAACAACATAGAAACTTCAGCGAAAAAACAGGGAAATAAAAGTTGCCTGTTTAATAAGTTAATGTAGTGAGGCATTTAGAAAAGAATCTCACTAATTGAAAATCATGCCCTGATGTGGATCTTGGTTTATTTATTTTTTTACAATTAAGTTAGTAAAGCAAATAACCAAAAAAGTATTCAAGGAGTCTGCATTGTAAGTTGCAAACATGGAAAGGTATGCAAACTGTTTAGTCTCCTATAGTAAAGTAAGGATAGATATTATGCAATACTCAACAGAGCATTATGGAATTTTGAAAAGAAGTAAGAACACTAAATGTTTTGTTCAAACAATCATATTTTGGATTAGGAAAATAAAATTTAATAGTTCTTTACCCAAAAGTTAATAAAACACCTACCACACTAATATGTCAAGTAAACATTTGCTGAAGTTTACAACAACTCTGTTCACTTGAGGGTAAGCAATTAAATTATTTGTATGTTGCACCTCTCCACCTAATCCATTCATCATGAAAAATTCCACTACAGGACATATAAACAAATGGTTCTCCACTGATTACTGAAAGGTAATCACCACCAAGATTGAACTTATGACAGCAACGTAGTAACACCAACAACTACAAACAGCGTATCTATCCACAGGTGAAGGGACAGTAGAAAAATCCCAATTAATTTTTACTGTAGATGTTAACTCCTCCAGAAAGCACCTCCATGTTCTACCACAGTGACGTGGGCCAAGTACATACACTATAGGACACTAACACCTGTGCAACACAGAAACAGCACGCGTTAATCAAGGCTCCAGATCCTCCATGTCACAAGCTTGATCCCAGCATGCTGTAGCTCTGTAAGGCACCTTGTAGGAGATTCTTTTTGCCTACTAAAGTAAGCGTCAATAATTGAGATTCTTATTCAATAAAATGTGAAAATACATAAAACAACAGTATTCTTTGTGTTATTTAGTCTAAAACTACTTTCTATTTGTTTTACACTGTCTTTGCATTTCCAGCGTACTGCAGAATAACTGTAAAATATGTTAGTGGAAAGCTGAAGTCTTGTCAACTGGGCAGCAAGCAGATGAGCTGCTTCAGAAGGTACACAATCAAAGCAAGTTTGCAGGAAGAAGAGAGTGGCGAGACATCAAAACAATCAGTGAAAAAACAGCATCAAATTACTCAACACTGCATTGAACTGAATAAACTGGTCACTTTTAAGCAGTGATTTCTGACTGTTTTCAGAGAGACAAGACATAATACACGAGGTATACAAACATAAGAAAAACATGTATAAAGACTCTGGAACATAACTGAAAATTCTGTAGTCCACAACGTAAGTACTTACACAGAACAAGTATTTCCCCTTCCCATGCATAGCACTAAAGAGACAGCTTACCCTTTCCACTTGTCCTTCCTTGTGCTTCAGTTTGTACACCTTCAGTTTTGGAAGGAAAGTCTCCATGTAATTCTTGTCTTCCATGCCTTGGAGCAGTACCCCATGGAATGCCAACCTGCAGGTATTTGCATGAATATCTGTATCCAGCTTGGAGCCGATCACAAGACACAGTTTAGGACAAGTGACTGGTTTTTCAAACTCTAGCAAAGCCCACTGTTGTCTTGGGAGCTGGACGACTTCTGCCTGGTCATTATCTTTGTTGTTCTCTGAAGAATTCGAGTCCTTGGACAAATATTCCTCTTGATAAAGATAATCTTTTTCAAAATCAAAAACATTTTCTTTAATTTCTTCATTGAAGTCAGCAGGGGCTGGACTGAAAAACATCACTCTTCCCATAACTGTTTCATGACCAACTGTAATATGGAATTTGGCTTTGGTCTGAAGAGCTCCTCGAAAATACTGGATTTTCTTCAGGGAAATTATTGCAGCATGAATGGTGTGAAGTGATTCTGGGGTGCAAATCAGGCCTCGTTCTAGCAGTTTGGGATCAAATTGGGTTACACAGATACCTACTCTGTCACCTTGCATAGCGTAAGTCACAGGGGTATGGAACATCTGCATGGACTTGACTTTCTTTGTCACCTATTGATGAAAGAGCAAGGAAAAAAAACAAACAACAATTAACTGCACACAAGTGCATCACAAGCACAAAGCCACATATCACACCCTGCTCTCTTGTGATGACTGGCCTTCTAGAATAGTCCACAATTCAAAAAGTAGAAAGAGAACAGACTGAGGACAATATCCCATAGTTTAGGATTACCATAGTTTTGAGCCTCTTAGATTGTTCTACTTCTGTTCATGAGATGTAAGATTATCATGGCCACAACTATGTTGATGATTTCACCATCTGTGCTGCAATACCTGCATACTATCTGCAAATCAACAAATATACCCACACCATCTTACTTACTGTACCTGCACCATCAACAGTGTAGCACTACAATACCCGCCCATGCACCTATGTGACTGTTTTCCCATCCCTTCTACGAAAATTGTTCCATACACTTTCACTTGCTTGAATTCAACTGTAAAATGTTCAGAACAAAAAAGCTTTTCCTTTTAATGCACAATACTAAGCACAATGAAATCTTGTAAGCCATCACTGCAAATTAATTAGTAATACAAAAATCTACCATCTCCTAGTCTATAACATTCCATATATTAAAAAAAGTCCTCAAAGCTTTCTTGCAAAGATTTGAATGTTCATAAATATATGGCTAGCATCCAGAGATCATTTCTTTAAGATATCTTTATCAATATACAATAGATTATACTGTGAATGCGTACAGAACAGCATTGCTAGAACAGATCTCAACTCTAAGTATCATTTACTCTTTGTCCCTTTTCTTAGTACCAATTCTACAGCTATCAAAAACGTTCATGTCAAATGCTACTGCACAATTCTTGGCATTCAAGCCATTAGTATCTGTCTTACTCAGCTGGAATTGTTCTCAAACCAATCTCCATCCACTACATGTCCCTCAGTAGCCCGCCTTCTAAGACTTGCCCACACCATTTATCTTGTTACTCCTGAAAGTAAGAAACCAAAATACACAAACACTGAAGAGAATCCCAAACCAAAGGATTGGACTCAGCAGATCTGGGCTTCATCCTCGGTATGTCACACAACTTACAGCGCATCATTTACGTTAGATGACTCAAAACAGTCTAGAGAAGTTAACCTTATTAATTTTAATCACAGAATTATTCACCCACAGGATAATACTGAAAATACCAGCTTTTTTCCTGCATCTTGGATGCCACGCATAGGTGACAAAATTATGTTTTTCACCTTTACTACAAAGCCTGCTGCCCTGTATGAAGGGCATAGTACTTGGCTTCAGACAAATCTTTATATGCCTATTCCACAGTCACCAAACCAAGTAATATTAACAGACGACCGTAGGAAAAAAAGGAAGGAAGAAAAACCCAGAGGGCAACAAACTACAGAAACTTAGATCAATATAGAAGAGTAGATGAAAAGTCTACTGGCTGAACTAAAACCTTCAGTAACTGGAATATAAAGCACTCTCCAAGTCAGTCAGCAAAAAACAGTCAGAGGCAATACACAGAAAGCCAATTTTTAAAAAAGGGGGAGAAATCTAGCAGCTGCATGTCTTCTGGAAAACGACAAAAATCCTGTATTCCTTCTTGAAATCATAATTATACAAAAAACAATGGTCACGAGCTTCAGCACTAAATATTGTTTGGGTTCCCTGGATCTCTAGCTGCTAACCAAAGTCAAAAGAAACACCCTTTTTGAGATTACAGTAAGTTGTTATTACAACAGTTTTCAAAACAAATACCACATCAATGCCTGTGGATTCTTGAAGAATCCACAAATATTACAAGAAAGGAGATTAAGAGGTGTGTTCATGTAAAAGAAAACCCCCTCACTAAAAAGGCTGGACCAAAATAGTTTGGTATGATCTTAATTAATGTCAGAACAGACTTAAAAAGCCATTCTAAATACTCAATGGGATTTCAGTTTCAAGTAATTTTGTACTCAGATATATATTCATTATCCCTTTAGCCAAATCTCCTACACAGTACTAGCGATCTAGTTGAATTGGAGAGAAACAATTCAGCATTTACCTCCTTTCTATTCACTTCTGAGGTTGTACATTTGAAGGCTGAAAGTACAGGGGCTAACCTGTCCAATACCTTGCAGATGATATAATCAGCCTATCTATATTTGTTCTAAATGTAAACAGCTTACCCCCTTATATTCATGGTATCTATTCTTGTATCTGAAGTTCCCATAGAAATATCAGAGAACAGAAGAAAAAGAAATGAGAAGAACACATTCAAAGCTTGTTCCTTCTTTTCCTCACATATTCTCAATACCAGAACCAACTGCAAACGGAGCACACAGCACAGTATCTTAACTGACCATAAACTGTTCCAAGACTAGGAATTCGAATCTGACCAGAACAATGCTAGGGTGCACTTAGATGACTGGAGGTGTGTGTGTGGGGGTGGATTAAATCACACAAGAACTGAGTTGGAATTGCATCTCCTTCAAAAGGTCAGATGTGGAACCAGCAGAGAAGTGAATCAGTGAGTTGATCTGCACCCAACTGGATCAAATAACAAGAGCCAGAGCAGCTTTAAATCACTGACTTCCTGTTTTCTGAGCATACCATGAACATCAGTACAGTATTTCATTCCATTTCACTCTGACCCAGACTGACAGAGACATTTGTCCATGGTTTAAAATACTCCAAACATAGGGTTTTTTCTTCAAGAGACTGAAGTACGTAACTAAAATTCATCTTTGTGTTGTTTGACCTTTAAAATACAAACCTGGAATCACCGAAAAGGATGCAACTGGCCCTCAGTATTAGATTTGTTTCTCTTATGCCTATCTGGTTTCCCTACGTAAGGGATCCCCACAAGTTATAGCACAGTTCTAAACTTTCACATATTTTCTTTAGCTTTACAGCAATAGAAATTTCAAGTAGGGAGTTGGGGCTGGATCAGTCAGTCCACCAATCTATCAACAGAATGACGTTAAATACTTCAGAGCATTCTAACCTGAGCAATAGGAATTCATAATTGCCACCAGCTATGACCAGTATCTTTGGCATTTCTTTACATTTATTTCAAGCACCTAAGTTTTGTCCTCAAAATAGTGTCTGTAAAACAACTATCTCATCTTGTCCATTAAGATAATGCAAGGCCCATTTCAGCAATCCACTGAGTCAAGACATATTTCACTTCTCTTTTGGGGAACTAAGTCATTTAGACACAGAAAGAATGTGAACAATAGTGAGTGCAACTTTAAAGAGACAGACTTTATTGCATGCAATAATGTAGGTAAACATAGAAAACTTGGATACCATTATAAAACTTGCTACAAACTCTGCTAAGAAATTCACTCACATTTTGTTTTCTAACAATGGCACAAGGGAGTGGATTACATCTCATCATATAAATCAAGAGCCACGTGTTGAAATCTTACATCATTTGCAAAGGGATTTGCTTCACTTTTTAAATTTTATTTGTATAATCACATTAATGTTCCTAAATCATTATGCAAAGGTCTATAAAAAGGGTGAGAAAGAAGTTTGTGTTCAAATGCAGATTAAAAAAAACGCAAAACAGAAATCAAAAAGCACCCAAACAATTGCGATAAACAAATGTATTCAATACAAGAGAACCCGTTATTTGAAAACCAAAGGAAGAGCCCACTAAGATTTTCAAAGCAGTTTAGTACAGACTAATAGAAAACAGGATACAGAAAAAGTCCACTAATGACTTTTTCCCCTGATATGTCAGAGCTTCTTTTCCTTTATTTATCCAACTTTCATTATCAACCATATGCCATTGCTCATAGCTTCTTTAGATAAGAGACTAGCCATCCTGCTGCCTCCCAATGCTGTGAGTGCAGCTTTCCAATACAAAAGATACAGCAATCATACTTCCCTATAATACTGACAAGAAACTGCAAAGTTAAAATAATTAGTCTCAATAATCTATTAGAGAAAATACTGATTATAAATGCAGTATTTATAAAACGAGTATTACATACATATTACAAAAAGAGACCCCACTTCAAACACAGAGGACTCCAACCAGTTTAAAATACGTATCACTTCTTGGATTCCTGCTGCTAAAAGCTGCACCCAAGAAGGAAGAGGAACTGATAAGTGAAGAAAGCACTGTTCAACCCTGAGGTTTAGAAATACACCAAGAGCAAGCCTGCCTGAATCAGCACCAAAACCAACAAACCTTGAGAGGCATAAACCAACCATATACTACAGCAAAGAGCCAAATACAAGAAACGACACCTTAATATCATCCAGTAGAAGTGCCTCCTTACAGCTGAAGAGGAGCAGCAAACTAAAGCCCAACTGCACAACTAAAACGCATCCCATACCTGCCGCTTTTGAAAGTCAAGACTACCTTCCTCCCTATTGCTCTACTACAAATCCAAATAAAGAATAAAGCATCTTCATCCTCCTGCTTCCAGTATCATCTCTTGGTGGTCAAAGGATATCACACTACACCATTAAAAAATGCAGCCCACTTGTCTGAAAGGCTACCACAGTTCTTAGTTTTCGGCCAAACCTTGTCTAAACACTGAAAAGCTCTAATTCAGACACAGACTACTCTTCTGTGTAAGCAGATCTTTTAATAAATTCTCTTCTAAACACAAGAATACCAAATTCTTTGCTTTATGAGAGATGACCATTCACAAGCAAAGCTGAGTCCTATAGATGAGTAAGCAGCAACATGTTCAGCGAAGGCAGCAAACCACTCCTGCTTGAAAGTGTCAAAAGGACACTTAGGCTGTGAAGGCACAAGGCAGCAACAACAGGCATTCAGAAATCATGAATCGAGGCCTCTGCCCTACTCCGTCCACACCCTCCAATCAAATTAAAAAAATCTTTTACTATAAAAATTAAGATATGGAATATTTTCTTAATTCTCCAGGATGCCTTTGCAGTTCACGTCATATCTCAATTAACATCAAGAAACATTAGTTCCAAATCTTCAACCAGGATTTCAGAACAGCATAAAATCGAGATAAAACAAGAGCTGTCAATGGTAAGTTGTTGAACAGCAACCACACA